ATATAGGGGGTCAGAGTTGACCATTTTGTAGGTCCATTGTAGGACAAAATAGATTCTATGTAGGGTCAAAGTAGGTTTAATGTAGTGACAAAGAAGATTTAGTGTTGGTTAAAAGTTAGTTAACCGTTAGATTCGAATCCCCAAAATCCCCCGAGTAACGAGTTTCAAGTGAATCTGATGAATTTAAGAAAAATTCGTCCGCCATATTGGACCCGCCATTTTGAATTTTTAAAATCTGACTTCAGATTCGTAATCAGCAGCCAAAAATCTGAAGAGAACCATTTCGGCTGAATTTTTTGGACATTATTATTGGAGTATAAATGTGAAGCTGCTATATTTTTTAATTGGACATGGTCAACTTTGACCCCCTATATTTCTTAAACGGGGCATATGCTTATCTTGAAATTTTGCAGGGATTTTTGGGTCATCATAAGTAACCACTTGGCATAAAAAAAGTTTCAAAAATCGAGATACCGAAAACGGGCATTTTTTGCATGAGGCTCTTTCTCGCTCGAGTTCGAGTGATGTCTCGCTCGTGAGTAGAATGAATCGCCGAGTATCCCCCCCGCTCGAAATCGCAGAGCGGAGCTGAAAATATTTCTCGGCGTTCAGGCAACGTCTCGCTCGAGGATGACCGTGAAATTTCCTCGAAAGAAACTTGACGACTCGATCGAGGGGATTTCTTCTTCGGGTGGAACTCCCCTCGACGAGCGGGATGACGTCTGAATTCTCCGCCCTGAGCGTCAGATAAATATCTTCGGAGGTGGATTCGCCGCCGTCGCAGGAACACGTCCATTTCTAATCGACTTTCTTCCGCTTTCCCTTTCTCTCTCTCTCTCTCGCTCTCGAGAAATTCAGACAGCTCGTCGCGAATCCTTCCGTCAGCGCGCGAGACGACAATCGCAGGATCGGCCGGCGCGGAATTTAGCACGCGCTTTCGCTCGGGGGTGCCCCGCGCATTTAAAGGACCCCGATACGCCGGGCCGGACACAACAGACATAGAGTGTTTGCGGGTCTCTCCATCTCTCTCCCTCGAGTGGGCTATTTTTTGAGCGGGATAAACGCGCCGGAAGTATTCCCGGCACGGAGAAGCGCTCCAGGCGAAATGAGAAGTCGGGCGGTGAAGAAACTACGAAGGGAGTCGAAGCGGGCGGTGGAACCCACGGTACCCACGTTGCAAGCTTGGGGTGGCTGGGGGCGCGACGGGAGGGGAAAGGGGTGGGGGAGTGGCAACGAGCACACACAGCAGGCGGCAGCCACCACGTGCGCGCGTCTACTACGGAACTGCGGGCGTCATCGATCGCGCGCGGATTAATCTAACTTCGGCTTGGAGCGTCGAAGCGCGGCAGCTCACGGCCGGCAAATTCGCTTTCAGGGCCCAAGGGAGAGCTGGGACCGCAGGGCATGCCCGGGCTCAACGGAACCGAAGGTGATCCCGGTATCCAAGGACCTCCCGGATTACCAGTAAGTAGAACGCAAATGAGAAATGTTTCACCCAAATCCCCACTCCCGCGCCGTAATTTCCCGCGTTGTAATATTCGGAGCACGGGGGCGTTTTGCCGAGACAGCGGGAACTCTTATCGTCGGATTTTCACGCGAATGCTACGGCCGATATGTAACCACCGCCGAAGCGAGGAGAGAACGCGCGGGCAAGATTTCCGGGAGTTGCGGAACGCGATCGAGCGTGTTACACGCCGCGCGTCTCGGAAGCTGCAGAAAACGGACGTTCCTCTCGTGAATTATTCAGTTATTTGTGGCGTATACCGGGTGTCTCAGAGGTAGTCTCAGAGGCCAGATTGCGCTAAATGTAAAAATAAGAAAAAGAACAATATGCAGGGTATCCCATTTTAAAGAGAATTTTTAAAATCCCATTTTAAAATCCTCACTCAAATATCTCAGAAGCACTGCGTTAAATCGAGAAATGTTTCGGACAAAAAGTTGTTCGGTTTGAAAAGGGGGACATGAGACAGCGATAGCGTTTTGTTTACAGATGGTCCCACTTTCGAGATATTCACTGATCGTCAATTCTCTTAAATGGAAGTCGCAATTTTTGTATTATATCATCTTTTTCTAACAATTAATTTGAACAACTTTGTCTGAGACACTTTTTTACTTGCCTAACATTCTTTGAGATATTTAAGGAAAACTTGGTAACTTTTTCAATATTTAACTTACGATATCTCGCTAACTATTTGTCGAAGGAAAGAATACTTACTAAATATAGTACTAGGTTCTTTTTTACTTTATTTAATCTATCTAAGGATATATTGCTACGATAATGCCCTAACTTTTGTTAACTTATCGACCTTTGGAAATTTCAAAATTATCAAATTAACAAAAGTCGGGGCGCTATTGTTACAATATATTCTTGACATCAAATAGAGTAGAAAAGTTTAATATCATTTTTTCTTCCCTTGTCCCCCTTCAAACCAAACTAAATTTTTCAATTTAACGCAGTGTTTCTGGGATATTTGAGTGGACCCTTTAATATGGGACACCCTATATATACACGTGTCCGCAGAAGCTTCGTTGAAAGATCACGAATCATGAAATGTGCCACGAATGAATAATACTAATAATGTTGATAATAGATTATATGGGTCTCTGAAGACGTAAACTGGCTTAATATACAAAGATGTCGCGTTCGCGGACGATTGCGATCGATGGTTCGCTCGACTTCAGCTTTAACCGAGCGCGACATCGAGCGGTTCGATAGAGTGCAAATATGCGGTGCGGACGAATAATTATTTTTTACAAACCGTTCTATATAGGTTGACGAGGCAGCGTTACGAAAGGAAATGTTTTAAATTCTCCTTATTTCTCTGTTGTAACTGTTTAACAAAGCTTTCGCGAGCGTTAAAGCCGCGAAATATGCTGTATATACATAATATGTCTGGAATTATAATATCGAGAACATCTCGCGCGATATTCCGAGCTTTTTTAGAACTCGGGAAAAATTACATTAGCGGGAAACATCGCACATCTCGGCTGTTTCGCGGACCGGTAATTGAATATTTCTGTCGTCACTGGGTTTTCGAGACCGCAACGCCACATTGTGAGCGCCGCTGAATTCAATTGAAGGACGCAAAGCGCATTATCGTGTAATATTCAGAACGATTTTTCCTACCACCCATGGAAAGCGATACACGATCTCGCGATATTATTCAAAGTGTTTCAGAAAAAGGGCTGCATGTAATTATATTTTTACCGAGCAAACAGAAGAGTTCCTATAAAGATAGTGCCTGAAACGCTCGGCCGAACAATCTCGGCCCGAGGCGAGGTTAGGTTAAGAGAGAGAGAGAGAGAGAGAATCAATTTCGATGTCGACGTGATCCATGCGAAATTACATCTATTGAAATGAATTTAAAAGGTAAAAAAGAAAAATAAATCGAAAGGGAGATCCTCAAAGTGTCCGCCAACAATCCAGCAAACGGACGAAAAGGAGTCAAGTGGACTCGACGATCGAAACAAATATTATCGTGTGCAACAACATTAACATCGAAATTAATTCTTTGAATCCCGAGCCTCCCCGGCCTCTCTTTCTGCGGCGAACTTTGCCGGCGAGCGAGCGGCGAGTCCATGGCATATTACGTACGTCGCGCTAGTGTCTGTCTCTCTTCAGGGAATTTCCGGACCGAAAGGTGAAAAAGGCGAGTACGGCGACATCGGTCCCCCCGGGCTCATGGGGCCGCCGGGTCTACCTGGGCCGCCGGTACGTAATGACTGTAACGCGGGGCCTCACTGGGGCCCCCTTCTCATAAACACTGTTTCTTTACGCGCGATTCCGCCTGTCGACAGGGCTACCCCGGGCTGAAGGGCGAAAAGGGGGAGAAGGGCGAATCGGTGAGTGCGCGTTCGTGAAGGTAACGTGTTGCGCTCGCGCGTCCTGTTGCGCTCGTCGTGCAGCGCGGCCCACGATCGATTTATTCGTCGGGCGTTTTATCTTTTTGCTCCTTTTTTTTTTGTTTTTGCGAAACTCATTATTTGCATATCGTTTGCATGTTTATCGCGCTCGGTATTTTTTCCCGGTCTTGTCTCTTTTTTTTTAGTCGATTTTTGGCTTTCAACATCGCGTGTCAGCGGCGCCGCGCGTGCGCGATAGCCGCAAATCCCGGCGGAGCGAACTCCGGCGGAAACTGATTTTTATTCGGCATCTCAATTTAAGTATGCTTCCATTATCGAAGAATAATATGGGCATATCTATTACGGGACGATCGTTCGATGAGCGCAGCTGTCGCGCGTTCGCCCGGTCGACCGCGTAGCCGTTGTCTGTGTGTATGCGTGCGTGCGTGCGTGCGTGCGTGCGTGCGTGCGTGCGTGTGTGTGTGTGTGTGTGTGTGTGTGTGTGTGTGTGTGTGTGTGTGAATGTGTATACTATTTTTCGATTCCATTGTACGCTCGTCGTACAGCGGCTGCACGATCGATCGGCGCGATCACGAGAGAACGCGGTACGAAATTGCGGTTTTCCACCGCGGGGAAGTGTGTTAAACGGGACCTCACGATAAAATGAATTTCTTTTCATGGCGGGACATCGACCTTCCCATCCGTAGAAGTACAAAAAGCTCCGGCGAAGACAGGTACGTGTGACAGAGAGGGCCAGGGCAGAGGAGAGATCTCGCATCGGCGACTTGCGCCCGATCGGCAGTGTTGTGTTCGGATGAGGTCTCGAACCCTCGAACACTAGGATGTTTTTGTTAGAACGGGCGAATTTTCACCAAATAATTTTTTTATTATTTTTTTTTTAGTATACATGAACCGTAAATATTTATATATAACATTACTACTGTGATCAAAAAATAAGGTGAATTTTTCATTTAAACTTAAAGCGGGTACTATGAAATCATGAAATTATTTTTCGGTGGGTTGGTAACACTGTCTTTGACATCTATGCAGAGTTTCATGTCAATATATTCAATTGCTGCGGAGCTATACGTGTTTTCGTAAACATACAAAAGTGAGTTTTTCGATTTTTACTATGTCTGATTTTGTCGAGCAAAGAATTTGCATTAAATTTTGTTTGTGGAATGAATATTCTGCCGCGGAAACGTTGAGGATGTTGCAGAAGGCCTTTGGTGATAAGGCTATGTCGCAAAAAAATGTTTACAAGTGGTACAAAGATTTCAAAGAAGGCCGAGAACGAGTTCAAGACGAACAGCGCCCCGGACGACCATCAACATCTACCGATGAAAGCCACGTCAAGGAAATCAAAGATCTGCTGTTCGAAAATCGTCGCTTGACAATTAGAGACCTTGCTGATGCTACGGGCATTTCATTTGGACCGACCCAAACCATTTTAAAAGATGTTTTGTGTCTCAAACGCATCAAATCTCGATTGCTTCCAAAAACCGTCCCACACTGCATTCTTGTTCTTCGAGAACATTTCGCCAAAAGTTCGACCCATATCGTTCCACAACCACCGTATTCGCCTGATTTAGCACCGTGCGACTTCTGGCTGTTCAACAAACTCAAAAGACCGCTCCGGGGACACCGTTTCGACTCGATTGAGGAGATCAAAGCCGAATCGAAGAAAGTATTGAAGGCCATCCCGGAAAAAGACTTCTCTGACTGTTGACGAGGATTGGAAGAAACGTTGGCACAAGTGCATTGTGTCGGACGGGGAGTACTTTGAAGGCGATGAAATTGATTTGGAAGAACAAATAAAGATTTTTCATTTTATAAATAAATTCACCTTATTTTTTGATCACAGTAGTAGTAAATTCTATCACCGCTGTGTGCTGCTATCCAGTGGCAAGAGTTAAAGAAACATCATCGGGTGAATCTTCACCCGTCCCAGTGTTTAGGGGTTAAAATTAATCGGATGACGACGAGATGGGACATGTACAAGTTCGTCTTGGTGCTTTGTCCTGCTTGCGGACGAAGCCTGACGCAAACCCCCAGCCACGGTGCCGTCTGATACAGGTGTGGTACAGACGCATACCGTCTGCGTGCGGCGTGAGAGCAAATATTTGAGATTTTCTGCACATCCGCAGAGCGACATGGAGCGAATTATCCGCGAGCGTCATCTCAGATAATTCAGTAAAGAGAACACTTCTCGACTTTTCGGGATGCACGGAGACGAAGATTACCTTCGTTGTTGTTGCGAATGTAATTCGTTGTTACATCTCGCCTCGTTACACTTACAACATATAAAAAGAAGTTAATATATTCGTTATCCGGATATCACCCAAAAAAAAAATAATTTCAGAACAGACGGAATCATCTAAATTTTAGAGGATTTTATTCTTACATATGACCTCAAAAGGATTCCTCTAAGATTAAGAGGAAAATATTATAAATATATATTATTCTTAAAGTTGGAAGAATTATATGTTATAAGGCAAATCTTGATTTTAATATAAATTTCCTCTTATACACACAGATTATTTAGTCTTTTTTTAAGAGGGTTATTATTTATTCTTACTTTATTTATTTTATTCTTGTTGATTATATACGTTCCTTTATAGGGAAAGGAGAGAAAATTATTATGAAACCGTCCGGGAGAAATTCTGGTTAAATTTTTCTATACTTTCTGCTGAAAAAGTAGGAAAAGCATAAATTTATAATTTTAAGTACTCTAAATGGCATTTAATGTTTATAACGCGATACGATAAATGGATATGTGTACATACTTACGCGGAAATATGGGCCAGTATGGATCTTTAAGTTGATTTTCTCCAAAAATTCTTGAACTTGGTTCATGACGAAATGACAATCGGGAAAAACGACACAAACCAAATAACAATCTCTCTTCCTTCTCCCTTTGTTCTAGAGGTTGTCTATAAAAAATAAAATGTAACGTCATATGCACTCTTCGTCATATGTCTCTGTGTGAGTAGATGGAAGAGGGAAAACACCAACAGACGTTCTTCTTGATACAAGAGGAAAATTAATTGATATAAAGAGGAAATCCTCTTGAAATAAGAGGAAAACATTTGGAATAATATCTAATAAATTTCAGATGAATAGTTCACTTTAATCGCTTTATCGAAAGAGGAATCCTATTTCTGTAAAAGGCTTAGAATACGAGAGACTATGGGAAAGATCACTTTACAAATAGAATACTTTCTTTTTGGGTGTAGAGATACTTGATGCCGGAAACTCGGGAACGATCGTCTCTGTATAATTGGACCCGTTTCGTCTGTCTGGTAGATTCGATTTGTCAGACAGCAACGCAAGCACTGCCGGTCGGCGAGGAAGGCGCTCGCGCGAACGCATTTCTCGCGATATTAACAAACGCGTATCTGTTGCAGGGAGACGGCACGTTTGAGGTGAACGCCGGGGAAATGGTAAGTCGCCGCGATCGCGTGTCGGCGTGTTTTTTGCGAAGGGAAAAAAGGAAGAGAGGAGAGAGAGAGAGAGAGAAAGAGAGAAACAGCGGGAAAAAAATCGTCGAAATTCGGAAACAATATCACTTTGCTCTCGCGCGTTTTCCGCCCGATCGGCTTTTAAATGTGTGCTCGACCGCGCCGCGACATCGACTTTACGCTTCGTTACGGCCTCGTTTCGCGAGAATTGCGTCGCCCTTTGCAGCGCGTGCGCGCGCACGGCAGTTTATGGAGATTATAAAGCAATCGCCCGAGGGCACAAATATTGCCAAACGAAATCTGTTTTCATTTCCGGATTTCACGATACATTTGTGCGGAATGGAATTTTTATGACGACGCGCACGGAAAAAAGAGAAACAGAAGGGATAGGGAGGGAGAGTGAATGAAAAACGCGAACGCGCGACAGGCGAGCTTCAGCAAATATTGTTCGATTAAACCTGTCGCAAGATTCCTCTGTCTTTGTCTCCGCTTTCAACTCAAGTTAGATCGCGGAAGCGCTTCTCTCTCTCTCTCTCTCTCTCTCTCTTTCTATCTCTGTTTATTTATTTATCTCTTATTTATCTCTCCCCAATCGCGCGACAGCGGCATGTATTTTCTCTTTGTCTTTGTCCCTGTTCGACCGACGCTGTTATTCGATGCGCAGATAATGGGACCGCCCGGACCTCCGGGACCAGCTGGCACCCCCGGACTGCAGGGTCCGCCTGGGATCAAGGGTGACAGAGGACACGATGGCGCCAAGGGCGATCCTGTCAGTAACTATTACCTATCTGTCGCGCGGCCGCGCGTAGAACGTAGACAAAAAAGCGCAGTCTCGAGCGCCCGCAAGACCAATATCGATCCCTCCCTCGGGGCTGTAATCGGCGAATAACGATCGACCGATCGATCTCGATCGCGGCGCGGAATTATCGGAAAAAAAAAAAAAGGAAAGAAAAAATATTGCCGCGGTCGGTCGCAATCGCGGTGACAAATAGCGTTGTTACGCGTCGTATTAATATAGCTTCCAGCCGGGCCGCCGTGCAACGGCGGAAAATAACGGGGGGGAAAACGGCCAATGGCCGCTCGTTGGCTCATAACGGTCGCGTGTATCGCGCGATTCGACGTTGCAAATCGTTAATTGAAATGACGAATACTACGTGAATACACAGGGTGTTCGGGAAGGAAGAGAGGCTCCGAGAGATTCACAGAGTAAAAAGCGCGCGAACGAAATTGCCTTAGCAAGATCGACGAAATATTCGCTCATAATTCGAAAAGGTCTGACTCTTCGAGGCGCAAGTTCACCGAGAGCACGTCTTTACCGCGAGTACCGGCCTGCAAGCCTGGGACTTTCTTTCAAACACCCTGTGTAATAAGGTCGACTTGTGACCCGTCCGTGAAACGGGTCGTGGGGGCCACGTCGCGCGACATCGTTCAAAAAAGCCGAGGAGAACCCTTCGCGCACGCGCGCGCGCGAGCGCGAAGAAGAGGGCGGGAGAGGCCGCGCTTGCGATGACTCTCGAGGCGTGAAGCTATTCACGTGGAGACCTTTGAGATCACCTTCGCATGCGATACACTCTCGTTCTCACGCGTCGCTCTTTCTTTTTCACGTTGCAGGGAGAAAAGGGTGGCAAAGGGGATCCTGGTCCGATGGGACTGCCCGTACGTATTTTCTCTCCAGATTACACACACACACACACACACAGAGAAAAATACATGCGCACACGCATATACACGTAGTCTTAAGCGTGCTCTAAACACGGATGTAGGACGCGCAGAAACAACGACGCTAAAGCGAACATCGCCGGTAAGCTCGGTCTGCGCGGCGTTTTTCCGGAAACTTGCAGTCGGAAAATTCGGCGAAAGATCCTGTCGAGCGCGACGATTGTATAGAAGATGAGACTCGGGCCGTTTCCATCTCCCAATTCTCCCTCGGTCGATCGGTGACCAGGGGGAGACGGAAAAAGACCGTGGAGGGGAAAGCGGGGGAGTTTAAGGGGATGCCAAAGCGGGGTGACGAGTTCGGGAAATGTCGATGACGATCGACGCAGTGAGAGAGAAGGTTTTGTTGAATCAGCAAAACACCGCAAATAACCGCAACAACAAATGGTTTGTTAATGCGGGACGGTAAATTGAACACCGTTGTGGTGACAAATAATTCGTTACTTGTAATGGCAACACGGTGACGCTAATCCTATTCGCGTTTCTTGCACACAATCTCGGCTGAACGTTGCGATACTTTTCTCCGAGGTGGTTTTCCTGAGAATGACTAACAAGTAGAGATGTGCGAACTATTCGAATTCGAATCGAATCCGAGTAATTTGAATGGGAATCAAATACATTATCGTTTGCATGCATCAGCTACAAAACGAGTCATCTGGGCCTATATATGTTCGAACCCTTAACTTGTAATTAACTTAATTTATAATTAATAACTTAATTGTAAATTACTTTAAACATTTAAATATATATTTTACTTCAAGACGATATTACAATATATCAATATTCCCTTTCATATTAAAATTTTCCATCATTATTTGCATGTTTAATAGTCATGTTAAATTTTTTAATGATTCGATTCGAATTCGAATGAAATTCATAGATTCGACTCGATTCGAATTCGAATTTAAAAAATGAGATTCGATTCGATTCGATTCGACATAAAAATTCTTGATTCGCATATCTCTACTAACAAGGAACGTCCGCGAAATATGTCTCCGATTTCGATGAAACTTGGCATATTTGTAAAGTAGAAAAAAAAATAAGAAAACAAAATAAGAAACCTATTTTTATACCGGCAGTGGCTCAGATTCAAGGGATGAAACTACCCCTCAAGGTTTCATCCCTTTTATGCTATCTCGATAGTTATTGCAGACAGGGAAAAACTTTTTAAACAAAAACTGTACGACATGAAAAACCGTACAATTTTCTCCGTACTTCGCGGATGTTCCTTGCAAGAAAGAAATTCCTATCGGATGTGCGAGGCGCTGCGGAGCTCCCGGGAGAACAGTGTCTGTGAAGCTTCAATCGCGCACAGGGATCTCCCGCGCCGCTTGGTCTCGTCGTATTTAGCGGGCAACGCGATCGCGCGAATGCGGAAGTACCTCCGAAATTTTCGACGCGTAATATTCGGCAGTTTCGGGAGGCGCTCCCCGTGAAATTCGCCTCGGCACGGCGGCGCGAGCCACGACACTTTTGCATCGAACAAATATTTGCGCCGACTGTGCGACAGTTCGAGGTGTCAATCTGCAAAATTTTTCATCCCTCTCGTCGCGCCCAACAACGCCAACCTGCCTCCGCGCGTGCGATACGATACGCGATAAAAGTCAGCACACTTTCCGCCGCTAAACTTTTCGAGCGTGGCGTCCCCTTAAGCGTGGGGGGAGGGTAGAAGAGGGCCGATAGGCTGCGAACGATTCGAATTGGATGATGGTAACATTGTCGCGGAGCATTCACCGCACGAGAGAACGACGCGATAACATACAATTAACACAATTAACAAAGTGGACTTTATCGGCGAAACAAAATACACAAGAGAAAAAGAAAGAGAGAGAGAGAGAGAGAGAGAAGGGGGGAGGAAGAGAGGAAAGAAAAGTGCGTTGCACGCGCGACGTTTTCACGCACACACATGCAGGTACTCGCGCGAGAATTAGCAACAAAAACATCGAGCGAAAGCTTAGAGCTCTCTTCCTCTCTTTCTCTCCCTGTATGTACCAGGTCTGTAAATATGAAACCGGAATTTGCCCATAGATGGCCCTAGCCCTGTCAATGTAGTTACCGTCAAACCGCGTCATTGGCGCCATTTCCATTTGTTGACATCTGACAAAGATTTTCAACTCACAACAATACAAGTTTCATACAACAGCATTGGTTGTAATAGCGTTGAACATGTCGAATTTGGTGCCTGGAAGCTACGATTTGCGGACAGCATTGATCTTCTGTTACCACTTGAAGAAAACTGCTGCAGAATCGCATCGAATGCCTGTCGAGGCTTGCGGTGAGCATGCTTTTGGTAAATCACAGTGCTTTGAGTGGTTTAAAAAAATTCAAACGTGGCGATTTTGACGTGAGAAACGAAGAACGTGGCAGACCACCGGAAAAGTTTGAAGACAGCGAATTGCAAGCATTGTTGGATGAGGATGACGCTCAAACGCAACAACAACTCGCGGATCAATTTGATGTGACGCGAGGAGCCGCCGTCTCCATACATTTGAAAGCCGTGGGAAAGATCCAGAAGATGGAAAAATGGGTTCCACATGAACTGAATGAAAGACAGCAGGAAGACCGAAAGACCACTTGCGAAATGCCGCTCGCCAGGTACAAAAGAAAGTCATTTCTCCATCGAATTGTGACTGGCGATGAGAAGTGGATATATTTTGAGAATCCTAAGCGTGAAAGATCATGGGTAACTCCAGGCGAACCATCGACATCGACTGCAAGGCCTGATCGCTATGGACGGAAGACAATGCTCTGTGTTTGGTGGGATCAGAAGGGTGTGATCTATTATGAGCTGCTAAAATCTGGCGAAACCGTTCATACTGAACGCTACCGACAACAAATGATCGATTTGAATCAAGCTTTGCGTGAAAAACGACCAGAATATCAAAAAAGGCAACACAAAGTGATTATGCTTCATGATAATGCACCATCGCACACAGCAAAACTGGTGAAGGAAACGATTGAGGCGTTTAGTTGGGAAATACTTTCGCACGCGGCTTACTCACCAGACTTGGCTCCGTCCGATCGCTACTTATTTGCATCGATGGGACACGCACTTGCTGAGCAGCGCTTCACTTCTTACGAAAATGTACGTAAATGGCTCGATGACTGGTTTGCCTCAAAAGAGCAACAGTTTTTTTGGCGTAGCATCCACAAATTGTCAGACAGGTGGGAAAAATGTATAGCTAGCGATGGGCGATACTTGGAATAAAATATTTTTTATCATTTTCATATAATAAACGCGTATTTTCTATACAAAAATTCCGGTTTCATACTTACATACCTGGTATGTGTGTATACATCGTCCTGCTATAGAGAAGCGCGCGAGGTCAGCACCTGCGCGCGAGACTCTTGCGGAATCGCCAAACCGTCCACCAACCAACCACCAACCAACCAATCCCGACAGTATCCACGCAGTTACACACCTGCGAAAGACACAGCTGACGGACCTCTGTCTATCTACTTTCAGGGCCCCATGGGACTGAGGGGAGAGTCCGGAAAGCCCGGGGATTCCGGGAAACCTGGCGCGATGGTAAGAACGCGGACCTCCCGCTCCTAACGTCATCGTTACTTGGCGTCGCCGCCGTCGCCGCGGAATTCGCTGATAAGCCGATAAAGTGCGTTTATTTATCGCGCCTGCGAGCAGCCCCAGCAGCGGCGCACCGTCGTCCCCCCCGCCTCTCGGTTGCCTCTCGGCTGCTTTTCTGCGTGTACATAAAGGACGAAGGGGAGGAGGAGAATGAGAAGGAGAAGAAGAAGAAGGAGGAGCAAAGCGAAGCCGGCGCGGCCGGAAAGAGAGATCAGAGAGAAAAGGATAGATAGATAGAGAGAGAGAGAGAGAGAGAGGGAGAGAGAGAGAGAGAGAGAGAGACAGAGAGAGAGGGGCGAACTCGAGAGGCGAGCGGACGAAGGCGTGGAGACACAGAAAGAGAAAGGGGGAGAGAGAGAGAGAGAGAGAGAGAGAGAGAGAGAGAGAGAGAGAGAGAGAGAGAGGGAGAGAGGGAGAGATCACAGCTTCCGTCGCGTGCCGCCAATCGCGTTAGATATCGATATAGGCCGTAATCGCGAAGCGTGTCTGCGTCGGTCCGCACGGATCCGCCGTTTCTCCTCTCGACCTGGCGCTCGCCAGCGCCAGAGGGATCGCCGATAACGCTGTAATCGTTCATCATTAGCCGGGGCGGCCGAACGACGAGCTCCCGGCGTCAGGGCGTCTTTGCGTGTGGGAGACTCGACTCGATTCTCGACGTCGTCGATGCTCGCCGAGGCTCGAGCCGCCTCCTCGGCTTGTGTGCGTATATCGCTGAATCGCAGTCGAATGTCGGGCAGCCGGGGGTTGCAGAGGAAGAGAGCACCGGGTATCAGTCCGCGCGGGGACGAAGCGAGCAGGACGCGGAGGCTGCTCCCACAGCCGGCGATCTCGTAATCCCGTCGCGGCGCTCGCAGACCCGAGAAGCAGCGATTCGCGATCGGGAGAGGAAGAATTGGTGGCGCGGAAGCCGAAGATCGCGGGAACGGACGCGGAAGGAACGTCTTCCAGGCTCCGCCGAGGCTCGGCGTGTCGGCGACTAGAGGCGCACGCAGGGGCGACGGGACAGTATTTTGGGAGATCCTGCGGCGGATTCTCTATACGGTGGCGATCGCCATGCACGTATCCGTCGCGTCCTTTCGCTCGCCGACGTTCGCCGACGGGGGAAGCTCAGCTCGCGAGGACTTTGACCCTTCGCGAGGAAGCTTCTCGCGCGAACTCGCCGAGTTATCACCGGCTGCAGAGAACGCCCGGTTGTCGCGCTCGCGAAAGTATGAAGAAAGAAGTCCTTCTCTTCCCGTGTCCTTCGCCGTGACAAATCCGAGACGCGCTAAGGCGAGCGTCCCAATTAGTGACGGTATCGCGATTTGTGACAGTTACAACCGTTTTCTTCCTCTGCGCGGTGATAAGTGTAGGGAAGATCGGACAGATTGGCTACTTGCAGTTGTCTACTTCAACGAATCTCAATATCGATGTACACAAAAGTAAACAAACACTTTTACACATTCTCTCCTTCTTTACAATTTCTGTCTTTAACGCACTACGAGTTTCTAGCACCGAGAATTGATAAATCAGCCACAGATTTATCCCAAGCACTAAAAAACTTGGCAAACTTTGTGACGAATTATAACCCAAAATTTTCCCCAAATTATCAGTCGCAACAAACTTTGGATAAAATCAAGAGACGTAATAAATGCCTCGCAAGCGCACTACTACCGACGGCGACGGCTCAGGTTCGTCCGTTCCCTGCAGATCGGTAATCCGGCAATTTTTCGAGAACCGAATCGCCAATGGCGGAAGAAAACGGTACTTGCCGGCCGTTTCCGGGACAAAGTTCTCCGGGAATAAATGAAGAAGCCTGCCGTGAATGAGAAGAAGACCGCGAACGTCCGAGTTACTCGGCGAAGCCGGGCTCGTATGCTTGGCTCAACGCGATCACCGTTAATTTGCTAATTGCCTTCGCGAGACGAGGGCTCACTCGCTCACCAACTGGGACGTTCGCTTACCTCGCGAGGGACTTCCACCGGATCTCGTAAGGCGACTCGATCGAAGCGACAGAAGCAGAGAAAGGGTAGTCGCGCGACGTTCCCGCCGGATTCTCCAGACTCGGCTCGCGCCGCTTCCCAAGCAAACTGCCCGCCCGGTCGTGCGCCGACCGCGCGTTACGCATCCGCCATCCGTCCTCTAAACTTACTTTATGCGTCGATGCGGCTGATAAGACCCGCACGGACAAGGAGCTCCTCGAGCTCGCGAGAGCGCGCCGCAGGGAAGACAAACAGACTCCGCGCCCGGCCCGCTGAATTTCGTCTCGGCGCGACACGCGCGAGAGCGGACATGCGATTCCATCGAGCCGAGTCGCTCGCTCCGTAGTATCTAGACGCGCAGGAGCAGGATTCCGGGTCCTCTCGGACGGAACGTGGGCCGACGCGGTCTCCGGTTGTCGCGAGGCGCCTCCGGAAGCTCTCCTCCTCCGCGCAAAGCTTCGCAGCTTTGGATCGTCCCGTCGATCCTGCCGGGAGGCAGGAAAGGGGGGAAATTACATGCGATAAATTTGTTGCTATCTATACGGAAAGTACACGCAAACATTTGAACGTGTTTATCGGAAAACACCATTTTCTTAAACTGTCGGCACGATTAAAAAGTCTACGGCAAAAGAACTACTGAACCGAGTAACTTGAAATTTTTACGCAATTTACGCAGTAGACGTGTAGTTTTCAGATACTTGTTTCTTGTACAGTCATTATTTTTTCGAACTTGGCTTCACTGCCTTCATTTTGGCACGGGCCGTAACGGCAACCATATATTTCGAAAATCTTCCTCACATTTTGGTTTCAGAGTAGTGAGAGAGGTCCGGGAATTATGTCGACAGCAAACATAGAGCTCGCAAACGGATGACTGCGTTTGATCTATAATTACAAATCGGATCGGTTCTTGTGATTCAATAAAATTTATTTTATACTTTGAGCATTAACGAATACACTTTGAGAATTTCAAGTCCATTGATCTTACCGTTTCTGTTAAAAAAAAAGAATTTGCAAAAATAGCCTTGGAAACGGCCTTTCGCATGTAATTCCCCCGTTAACCGGAGACACGAAAGATCGAGAAGAGACGGCCGAGACGGGAAATCGTAAAAGGCGAGGGGGCGGCTTGGGGGATTTCTCATCGCGCGAGAATTCGGCCCCGGTTGCGGATGAGAAACGCGGATCCCAGCCTGTCCCGGGCCGTCCGGCGGAATCCACTTTTCCGCGATGCCTCTTCCGGAAATAACTCACTCGGTTTGTACTTAGCGAAAGCCCGTTCTCTCGCGGCGCCCTGATAATAACTCGGTCATTTATCACGATTCTTCTCCGTTCGCGCACCTCGTAGCGTTCCGGCGTATCACGAAGCGTCGTGGATTCCGCGCGCTTATATCACCGGAGATATGCTAACGAAAAGGGGTGACATTAGTGGGGACAGGGAGGAGGATAGCAAACGGGCAGGGAGAAAATCGAGACTCTTGTGATATTCTTGTGATGTTAAAATTAACGAGAACGAGAAATCAAGCGTAATTTCCTCCACGCACCGCGCTGAATGGAGCTTCATTAATTTCGACGTGTGCCGCGAGAGAAAAGGGAAACAGACAGAGACCTCATCATTGCTCGTTACTCCGGCGCGTCGGTGCGGTCTCATCGGCGGGAATCAGGCAATCTCAGCAGCAGCGCCGCGCGCGCGGCCCGCACGAGAAGAGAACGCGTGGTCGGTTAATAATGAAATTCGCGCTGAAAGCTGCAGCGAGCGCGGCTTCCCTCCGACGGTCGCGCGTGGAACAGCTGGACGCGTTTTAAATCATCGCTCAGCGCTTACATAAAGCTTGCATAAAGAAGCGGCAGCGGCAGCGGTAGCAGGGAGCAAGGCGCGGCGAGGTCGAAAGAAGGAAGAAAGAGAGAGAGAGAGAGAGAGAGAGAGAGAGAGAACGGGGGAAATGTCGGTTCGCCCGCTTACATTCGGCGAGACCTTTTACGAGAGTCGTGGGAAACGTCGGTATATCGCGCGAACATCGGTCACAAGGAAATTTCACGTTCGCCTGAACAGTAGTAAAACGTTTCCTCGTGGCCGACCGCCGCGAATAGCAAGTAGCGCGCGCGCGCGCGGACACACACACACACGCGCGCGCGCGCGCGTTCTCGCGTCTCTTTCTCTCGTCCCGTCCGGTTTCGGCTTTTCCGCCAGCCGCGATCCCGTCGGGTGCACTACCGTGCTATTGATAGTTCGTGATACTTTACCGCGGGACTTCGACATAGCTCAGAAACACGGGTACGACACTTTTGTCGATAATAAAGTAGACATTGACCGCGCGCGCGCGCGTGTGTGTGTGTGTGTGTGTGCGCGCGCGTGCGTGCGACGCGGTCTCACGTGTGTGTAACCGTAGACGTTCCGCGATGGCGAGTAATCCTCGACCGACTCGCCGCAGGCTTTTTCTTCAAAGAGAATATTTTGCATACACGCCGAAGGGGGAGAGAGCGAGAGCGAGAGCGAGAGAAGAATGAAAGAGAGGGAAGAAGGGAAGGTCCGGGAGAGCCCGGATGAGCAGAAATTGCGATGTTCGCGCCGACTCGGGGATCGATCCTTGCGATCCTTTATTATCGAGGTAATTATCGGTGGGCAAGCTTGGCCTAAGAGGATTCTCTTCTTGCCCGAAGTACAACGAGATGTCGATAGCGAGGTATCTTCAAAGGCGACCTTAAGTTGTAGTAGGCAAGTGCCGGAGGTATATTGATTATTCCTCGCGGAGGATAGACGAGTGGTGTGCGCCCGATCGCGTGGAGGGTCGATCGTGCGGGATTGATCCCTCGATGTTGAAACTCCTGCTCGGTCAAGCCGAGCTGATTCTCGCTCGCCGCGAGCGCGACTGGCGCGATTGAATCCGGCTCGCTAAATCGATCGTTGATAATGAGAATCGGACGAATGTTTCCGTCAACGGCCGCTTTCACAATTCCACGCGATTTCGTAATCGCGATAATTTCGTCGCGTGCCTCCGGAGAGAAACGTTAAAACGTCGATAGCCGCCGGCTTCTCATCGATCGCGCCACGCCGAATCGTTTAACGCCGGAACGTTCGGCGCGATCTGTTTTCCGGCGGAGCGGTCGAAATAACGGGTTTTCTTTTTTCCTTTCGGGGGGAGAGGGAGAAAAAAGCATACTTTGCGCGCGGAGGCAAAAATGCTGATTGAGATCTTTCAGAGTTTCATTCAGCGTCCATCAACGGTGTGAAATGCCTCGTATGAAAAGAGAGAGAGAGAGAGAGAGAGAGAGAGAGAGAGAAAGAGAGCCGAGTAATTTTCGCAAGTAATCACAAACCGGTCATCTCGGCCGCTTTGACGGTTCTAGTGTTAAAGCAAGCGCTCCCCGCGCCGATCTGCCACACACCACCGTCGACCCGTCCGATCCGATCGTAATGGAGGAACGAAATATAAGAAGAGGACTCACGAGAGAGAATGTACAGTGTAGAATAACGTCGGCGGTGCTCGGCGCCGTCGGGAGAATCGATGTATCGCAACGGAGACTACTGCGAATGACGCTAGCACTTCGCTCTTGTGTGTACATCCCCGAATAAATTAACGCAGATAATTAAGATTAAGAGGATAAAACTGAACGAGAGAGAGAGAGAGAGAGAGAGAGGGAGATCGAGCGAAAGCGGACGAAACTCCGCCGAGGATCCGGCGGTTCTATTTGGCAATTCCTGTACGTGTAAAGTGTACGACGCCCACATATATTTACACACAAGTATACAAACACTCACACACACACACACACACACACACACACGAACGAACGTATGCGTGGGGCGGCACGAGAAACGCAGTCGCGCAGAGATGCGTAAACCGAGATTATGTATATAAATATACGGGGTGTTTCTCAATCCTCCGTCGACGAGCACTCGGGATTTGCTCGGTGCGCCAAAGCGGACCTTCCTCTCCTTTTATTCGGTGCCTCGGCCGTTCGCAATTATCTCGTTATCTCAGCATCGGCGGAATTAGGAGAGTCCGCTCTACGAGAACGCCCGTAATTATCGATCCTGCGAGAGACCAGGGGGATTATCCACGGTCATTTTAATGCTGAGCCACCGATATAGTCTCGTCGTAACCGAGCATGTGTATAAATACACACAGACAAATACACACACACACACACACACAGCCGGTATACCACACGAGGTAATGAGATCTTCGGCGTCGAGGATATCCGTCAAACGGAACGTGCGTTTCGGCCGCACCGGAAGAATCCCAACGGTTCGTCGACGACGAGCCGTCGAGGGCGCCCCGTATGGCCAATTTGTATGTGTATGTCTGTAAATGTAAGTACATAAGGAATGCATATATATACATATTATACGCACACGTACTTGCGTGTCCGTATGCGGGTATATACACACAGGCTGTCACGCCGTATCGGACGCCCCCCCGCTCGGCCCCGCCCCGCCCCGCCCGCCTTTCGCTGCGGACTCATTCGCGAGTTTAGAATATTGACTCTTTCTCGTTTCGTGTTTGATTCTTTTTTTTTTTTTTTTGGACTTCTTTCTGTCTTGTCGGTTTCCTCTTTTTCCTCTTTCTTGCCCTCCTCGATCCGAGGATCCGGACGGAGAGCGTAATTACAGCAAGTTTCTCAAGACATCGGCTGATTTTAAGAAGTTTCTCGTCTGAATTATACAACTCTGACAGTGTAAATAGTAACCGTTGATTTACCGATTAATTGAAAATGCGGGCTTTACTCTTACAAAAATGTAATTCAAGATCCCGATCGCCGGGATATTTGACGAGCCGAGGAGTCGTCGAGTATTCGCCTCGAGTGCAAAGATCGACTCTGAGAAAGAGAGAGGAAGAGAAAGAGAGGGAGAGAGAGTTTGTAAGTCCACAAGTCCCCGGAGAGAGAGAAAAAAAACGATCGAGTAGTAGTCGTAAGACATTCTGTGTGTATATGTATATATATATATATATATATATATATATGTATGTATGTAGTATATATATATATATATACACACGCGCGCGTTAATTGTTAAGCAGGCGGTGCTCCTCTTGAGCCGATCACACCACACAACCGGCGACCTAATTGCGTATGTGAATACTGACTCTAACAACAGTTTTGTTTTACATTGTCCCGATTAATAAACAGAATGTGCATGTGCCTGTTGTCCTTTGCTTCTAAAACGCCTACCAGATTAATGCTTTCTCACGTTAATCCAGTAACATACAATTATATATATATATATATATATATATACCGCTTTGCATTTTGTGCGCTCCGACTGCGATCCGGCTGTGTGTCGGACAATCGCAACGACTCGCTCGCTCATCTTTATCGCGTTTTCTTCTGTCTCTCTCTGTATTTGCATCTGTCCGCAAGTCTGCAAAACAAGACGACCGAAGACGGGAGGATAAAAGCGAGAGAAAGAGAGAAAGAGAGAGAGAGAGAGAGAGAGAGAGAGAAAGAGAGAGAGAAAGGAGGTAAAACAGAGAGGAAAGGGACGACGAGAAAAATTAACACGTGTTAATTTGCTGCGACCACGACGGCGGCGTTAATCGTCGGTCCGGCTCGCCGGGCCGACGATTAATCTTGCCGCTTTGTAGAGATAAGATCGAGAGCAAGCTGGAATGAGTGAATGAACGAACGAACGAACGAGGAGACGCGGCTCTAGAGCGTCGATGCTTCCTTCTTTTCTGTTTCTTTCTCTTCTACTTTTTTTTTATTTCTTTTCTTCTTTTTTATTTCTGTTCTTTTGTTTGTCTCCTCTCTCGACTTTGCTCAAGCTCCTCTGCACTGCCTCCCACGACGCCGCCCCGCCGCCCTCGATTGTCAGTCTGCCTCGCTCTCGTATTAATTCCGATAATACGAGAGGACACACCGAGATGAGTTTGGCAAGTCGAAGCGCCTTTTAAGAAAGGGAGGGGGAGAGAGAGAGAGAGAGAGAGAGAGAGTGGGAAGTGGAGAAAGAACGCTAACGAAAAAGCCAAACGAATCCGATCTCATTACTCGCGCGGGAGAGGAGGGACGTTTGCGCGGGTGTTAGGCTAAAAGCAAACTCGGAGCGAACCTCTATTTCGAAATGACATACAAATCCGTCGCGCGCACCTCAAATATTTATAGAGGATACGGGATGGGGACGGAGGGGGGGGGGGATGCGGAAGGATAACACCCGGCTCGCGATCGTAACGACTACAGAGGACTGCTACTACTCGATAGAACCGGAATTCCATTACGAAAACGCGAACGCTCATCGAATATCCCCGGCCGATATCCGCGCGCGCGCGCGCGCGCGTGGCGCAACGAAATTTCGCACTCGGGACTCGTAACTCGATTCGGCAATCCGTCCGGGGAGAGTTTTGGGCAAGGGAGTTCTCGCCCGCGGAGAGAATCGTCGCGCCGCGCGAACGTCCCTCTTCGTCTCGTCTCGTGACGTCCGCATCGCCGAAGCGCGACGCGCGCGCGCGCGAAGGTCGGCCGATCGAACGAGAACGATCCTGAAAACACTCGAGGGCGCAACGACGGTGTGTGTGTGTTGCGTTTGTATGCGTGCGCGCGTATGATTGCGTATGTGCGTTAAAAGGGCGTCACTGGCAAGACGCCCCCTCGCGACGTAGTCTCTCCTTCTGTTTGTTCCCCCCCCCTTCTTTTTTTTCATTTTTTTCCAAGTCGCTGTCGACAATATTACGCTCGATACATATACATGTCGGCGGGCTCCGCCGTATCTGACGAGGTTTCCTCTACCTTTCAGGGACCACCAGGATTAGACGGCATGAAGGTGAGCGATCCGCGGGGGATGACCCCGTTTTTTCACTATACGTTGTTCTACTTCTCTTTATCTGAACGCGCTATTTCCGTTCTGCGCCTCGTTCCTCGCGATTCCGAAATAACCGAAATCTGTTCGATCGAGATTCTAAGAGCGAGAGCGAGAGAGAGAGAGAGAGAGAGAGGGGGAGAACTCACGCGCGCGTGAGCGGTTCTCCGGCGTACGATGAGGAGGACGCAAGCGATGTATGCCGATGTCCGTCAAGTTTCTTCGTACTTTCAGGGTGCGCAGGGCGAACCAGGAACGAAGGGGGAAAGAGGAGATCCGGGATTGCCTGTAAGTGTTACGCTTTATCAAGCGCTCGCGCCGCGTTCTCTAACTCGCGATATCGCCCGCGCGCTCGTGTTTCACGGCCGCGAGAACGCGCGGCTATCTGGAAATTGTATCGCCATTCTCCCGAGGCGAATCGGCGGCTCTCGAGAAGTAACGTCCCGCTTGCGTAGTTACGGCCTCTCAAGGCGGAGACGTATCCCGGAGTCGGATCTCGTCTCGCGATTTCAAAGGGTCGATCTTTCTTTAATGAGAATTTTTGCACCTCCACGCCGTGTACTCTCTCCGCGATGGACTCGCGCCGGCGAGCGAAATTGCCGTCGCGCGGCGCGACGAGTTTCGCGAGAAACCGTCGCACAGTGGTCTAAACGGCAACGATTTTGCGGCAAAAATTAATATCGTTAGTAACGATCGCATACGGTACAAATAACATTTGTTATCCGGCAGGATCATTACTGATGTAAAAAGATATAAAGAGTGGGATTTTTTAAGTGGTACGTGTTAATGATTCTGCAACTGTTGAAGATAGCGACTTGGATTATTTTTTATAATTAAATGTCGCACGGGGACAGATATTATTGCCAATGTTTCTATCATTTGGCTCATATTCTTCGAAATTTAAAGATCACTGACATTTTTTTCTTTTTTTAACAATAACATATGACGATAAATGAGATACACTATCTGCTCTCGGTGAAACATGAATAAATTTATTTTTTAAATATTATGTTAAATATCATATACACGCATATTTTAATATCTTATTTTGACAAGAGATGTGTTTAAGAGAAAAACAAATTTCGTCACAGACATAGACACGCTAGTTATTAAACATGTCACATCAAATTGGCGAAAGAATATTTCAATCTTCATCTTGAAGTATTCATATCGAACTTAGAAATTTAGAAGAAATTAAGTACATCAGAAAGAAAGACACAGCTACTTTTACGTGAAAGATGATAGGTATAAAAGAGTTTAATAAAAACAAGTAAAAAATAAAAAGAGTTATTTTCTTGTAATCATACACAGAAATTACAATTACATAGCCAATCTTAACTTAATTTTCGCTTGATTTTTTATTATAAAAACAAAATCAGCAAAAAGTAGCAATTTCTTTCTTCACATGCTTCAAAATGATGTTCTGGACAATTTGACCATAAAACCTTTTTGCCTAAAGACGGCTAAAGTTTATAAATCGCACAATAAAATTGCAGTATCGATTCTTTATAAACGTTATATGAGGTCAAAAACCACATCGAATCAATCTGCTATTCTAAGTTCATCTGCCAATTATGCAAATAATATTTAAAGTATACATGTCAAATAATAATATATCGCGCTAAAACATTTTAGTAAACTACTTTGTGCAATTTAAAGGCTAATGCAAATAAAATGCAGAATGCGGCATGTCGAGTATACTAAAAGTTCTTTATTTTCGTCCACTTGTATTGTGCATTCAAGGCAACGTACAAGCATTTAAATTATAAGAAATTGTTCCTTGCATATTCTTCTTAGAATTACAATAATTCTTACTGGTATTTGATTGAACGAATTAGAAAAATTGATTTCTTGCCAGGTTTTCACGATTTTAGACCACTGTGCGTCGTCGGCCGCCGTCTCCGTCGAGATTTCGGTCGCGCGCGCTCCATCGCGAAACAGCCCTCGCACCCTTTCGCCGCCATCGATCAGGTCGGCGCACACTGGTCACACCCGGTAGATACGTTATTTCAAAAGTCTCTACAAATCTCAAATCTCAATGAATCAACTATTTTTTTTTTTTGAACTTTTTTTGAACACTGATGATTCATCAGTGAATTTGTAACAAATTACACGAGCTCGATTTTCGATTAGACGTTCGAGAAATTGTTTGTCTAATCAAAAATAAAAATTTCAACCAAATGATGAACAACCTTCCGTGATACTGACTATTTCGGGAGATTTTCCATGGTTGAACAGACTGTCGCAGAAAAATGCTTTTCTTAATGAAAAATCAAAATGACGGGCTAAAATGGCGGACACAAAATATCAAAATTAGATAAATTTGCAAAAAAATACGTTTACGAAGGTTTCTGGGGTTTTCGCTGAGAACGAATACGCACCACGTATTTATACGTATTTTTTTTTTTTTTGCAAATTTATCAAATTTTGATATTTTGTGTCCGCCATCTTGGTCCACCATTTTGATTTTTCACGTTGGGAAAGCATTTTTCTGCGACATTTTCTGTTCAACTATGGAAATCATCATTGAAATTTTTATTTTCGATTAGACAAACAATTTCTCGAATGTCTAATCGAAAATCGGGCTCGTGTAATTTGTTACAAATTCACTGATGAACGTTTAAAAAAAAATACATATAGTTGAAGATTCATTGAGATTTGCAGAAACTTTTGAAACAACGTGGCCTCCCAGGGGACCAGTGTGCGGCGGCGCTTCGCAAAGCCTCGCGGCAGTTGCGAGCCGCTGCTTGGGGCTGCGCTGGCGCGATAATCGGTTGTGACGGTGTAAATATTGGCCCTTTATTGTACGCTCTTATCCCCGAGCTGGGCAATAACTAGGGGTAATCAGTTTTAAAAGTTGAGTCGGAAAGTTAATAACTTTTAACTCGCTAACTCTGCGAGAGCTTGCTTCCAACCCAAAGCAGTTGTTTCGAAGCGCACATTAACGTTAACTCGTTAACTCTCTCTTTGTACGATCGACGATTGAAATCATCGCGGGCTGCTTGCAAAATGTGGAACACGTGGAAGGTCGAAGGAGAATAATAATTCGCCAGCAAGATTTCCCTCTCCCGCTCTCCTCCTCTCCCTGAGAACCCTAGCACAGCTTTTCTCGCGCAGAGTCCTCCTAAGCGCGAGACGTATCCCCGCGGAAACGGAGACCCTTCGATTATTCCACGCGCGTTCAAATGAGATGTTTACACGAAAGTATCGCTCCGCATGATATTTACTTGCGCGACATTCCAACCGTATCCAACTTAGCTTTCAACTTAGCTGTCGATTCAGCCAGCTCCCAGCTCCGGCGGACGAGAGTGTGCGATAAAAGCATCCGCGTGATTATCCAGAGTCCTCCGTTGCAATTGTGACGTCGATATCTCGCGCGCTGTCGCTTCGGCGCCCATCATAACCGATTATTGCCCGCGAGGCCGTCAATAACAGCTGTCAGTAGTGATAGTGGTTGACGAGAGAGAGAGAGAGAGCGAGAGAGAGAGAGAGAGAGAGAAAGCGAGAGAGCGAGAGCGCTTCATTGACTGCACCGGCAGAGAAGGCTACTTGGCAGCTGCTGTAAAATTGGCAAATCCTCTCGGCGCATGCCGTTAGATCCAGCCAAGAGGGCTAAGGAGCGCGCAGCGACGAGACTCGCGAATTTCCGAGCGACTATCTTCGCCATTCGCGCAGCCACTCGCCGTTCTCTCGCGAGTGGCAATCGCGTCTAAGCCGTTTCGCCAGCAGGTGCGCGCCACCGCTGATCGCGAGTACCCGCTTCGCGCGCGACGACGCTCCTTCGTCGCGAACGCCCCGCCGTCGTCGTGTGCCATCAAAAGAGAGAGAGAGGGAGAGAGAGAGAGAGAGAGGGGGAGAGAGACGCGCTAACGAGTCGATCTGTGTTTGTCCCCAGGGTACCGACGGGATTCCCGGCGCGGAGGTACAGTTGGCTTTCGATTATCGCTCGTCCTCCGGCGCGACTGCGACACGGTCTGACACGGTCTGACCAGCCCGGGGTAACGACGACACATCTGCCTGTGATCTACCCCGGGGAGAACGAAAAGAGAGAGAGAGATAGCGAGAGAGATAGCGAGAGAGATATAGAGAGAGAGAGAGAGAGAGAGAGGGAGAGGAAAGAAAGAGAGAAAAAAAAAACAGTAGAGCGAATAGCGAAGGAAAAGAAAAGACGAAAAGCAGAGTGAATGAAAAAGCCGGCATGCCCTTGTTACTCCGTCCGAATTCGAACGGGACGGAGCGTCTTGCGCCTTTCTCCCTCTTTCGTTCGTGATTTCATTCTCTCGTTCTCGCGCCGGTCTTTTCCGCCGCGGCGAATCTTGCACGCCCCCGCGGAAGGGGACGCGTCCCTCGGTCGCGCATTTTTTTCTTTCACCAGCCGGAGCAGCCCGCGGGTGCTCGACGTTGTCGGGCGGTTTCGTTATAACATTTTCCTTTTCTCTTTCTCCTCCCCGAGACACGCGTGTCGGCAGCCGGCCGGACACGCGGGAAACCAAGGAGGAGGAGAAATTAATAAAGAGACGACGCGGACGCGAGCTTCAAGGGGGGAATTGCACGCGGGACAGGCGTCGTTTTCAGGTCTACTTTTACGAATTTTTTTTTAACAGAAACGGTAAGATCAGTGGTCCTGAAATGTTCACAGTATATTCATCAGCGTTCAAGGTATAAGATAAATTTTAGTGAATCGCAAGAACCGATCCAATTTGTAGTTATAGATGAAAATGCAATCATCCGTTTGCGAGCTCTATGTTTGCTGCCGACATAATTCCGGACCTCTCTCTCTTATTACTCCGAAGCCAAAAACTGATGAGAAAGATATTTTAAATATACGATTGCCATTGTAGCCCCTATCAAAATGAAGGCAGTGAAGCCAAGCTTATCAAAAATAATGACCGTACAAAAAAAAGTATCGAAAATGAAACTTTTTTCAACTTGTTTAAAAAAATGAATAAAATAAAATATAACTGTGTTCGAGGTAGGGGCGAAAACTACATGTGTACCGTGTAAAAATTTCGAGTTATTCGGTTCGGTGGTTTTTCGGTTGGTTTCGGTGCGGTAATCGTGTCGACAGTTTAAGAAAATGGTGCTTCCAGATAAACGCGTTTAAAGTTTTCTATGTACTTTCCACATAGACAGTAACGAATCTATTTTATATTTTGAACTTTATTTTTTTACTTTATACCTTGAACTCAATTTATCTTATACTTTTTATACTTTGCACATTAATGAATACATTGTGAAAATTTCAAGTCCATTGATCCTACCTATGTTTCTGTTAAAAAACTTCGTAAAAATAGCGTTCAACACCTGCCTGCGCCATATGTAATTCCCCCCTCCCTTAGGTCTCGGCTGACTGGCAACTTTCGTCCGAGCGAAATCCGCAGCCGCTGCGCTGATTTTTCGCGCTGTCAGTCCGCGCGTTAGCGATCATTGACCGAGAGAGACCGAGCCTCCTCCTCGCGCAATCGCGAGCCGGAGGCTCGCGCTCGATCGGAATTTACGGCCGAATTCTAACGGAGGGGGAAACGCGCAACTCCATCGTCCTTCTCTCTGGAGTGTCCGGAAGGATGCTCGAGGGGCGCGCGCTCGTGTGACCGCGCTCGATGCACCGCCGTCGTCGTCGCCGATGCGAGAGCGTGCATAAACGAGACGACGACGATCTCGTTCCCTCGGATGCACAAGATAAAGGTGCGTTTGAGGGCGAACGGTAGCCTTCACCTCCGAACATACGAGGAATATATTCTCGAGGCGTGGCGCGCGATATTTTCGTTTTATTGCCCGGGACGGCCGTCGTTTCTTCTTCCTTTTGGGAGCGATGAAGCGTATAACCGCACCGGGGAGAGTTACATAGCTTTCCTTCCGTATAAAGTTTTTTGCAATTTTGCCGTACGTCCTCTGCCACGGAATAGACTGTCGGCGGAGTCTCCCCCGCTAAGGGACACAGTAAATTGTTCACGGTCTGCTCTTTCGCAGGATTTTGCTCCGCGAGATATATCAAGAATAGAGCGTATGGGGAATCGAAGGATAATGAATGAAATTTCATAACATTGAGAGAAATTAAATTTCCTTGCGATGGCTCGAAAATATTACGTGCTCAATATAAATTCTCTCGGATTTTAACGTGTTTTTTTTTTAGTAGCGTGCAAGAATAGACGGTCAAAGGGACATTTATCTCCGTCTCGGAAATAGCAAATATTTCAATAGTAAATTCTCCGGTATAAAAGCGGTAGATATTTTTACACGAAGCGACAGTCGACAACGAATTAAGGCGTCAACGTCGACGCGCGCTCGCGGTTGGGAAAAATTCCGTAACGGTCGCCATTGCAAAGTCGAACCCGAAAACACGAGAATACGAGAACACTAGTTACTTTTCTTTACAACGACCAGCGCCTTCGAGTGTACCTTATATTTGCCGCGCATATATTTGAGCGTGCGCGCGCGCGGCAAATAACGCGTTAATATCAGGAAAGCGGGAGCGCCGTTAAAATCCCGACGGACCCGACGTGCCGCGCGCGTGTAATGTTTCGCAAGAACGCAGATATAATTAATTTAACTTCCACTGAGCGCGCGTGCGATACCCGGCGGAAATCATGCCGAATTTTTCATCGCGGCTTTCACGAGGCGGCGGGCCAGCCCTATTAGGCGGCGACCAGGCTCTCGCCTATCGACGTCGGCGTCGGAAATTCCCGGTTTATTGACATCTCGTATGTTCGGAGGAGGCAAGAGCAATAACCAAGTGATCCACTTGAAATGCCGTAGCGGTGTTCCGGTGCCGCGAATCGATAGCCCCTCGCGGCCGGCGGTTGTCGACGGAAGAGAGAGAGAGAGAGAGAGAGAGACAGAGAGAGAGAGAGAGAGAGAGAGAGAGAGAGAGAGAGACAGACAAACAGACAGACAGAGACGGGGAGAGAGAATGTGCGTATGCGTGTGTATGTGTGTGTGTGTGTGTTTGTGTGTGTGTGTGTGTGTGTGTGTGTGTGTGTGCCCTGATCGATACACGTGGTCACACGGCGCCTTTCGAGCCCCCTTTCGTGGAAATGCTTTTCTGGAACGACCGTGCGTCCCGCGCGCGTAAACGACGACGGCCCAAGCTCAACCGTTTATCGAATAAATGCCTTTTGACGTACCAATTCCAGGGACCGAAGGGAGAGAAAGGTGCCAAAGGCGAATCTGTGAGTATTGACTTAATTCGAGTATAACGTATCCGACTCGCGCGCGCGCGAGCCTACGCCGCGACGGTCCAGAGAGAGAGAGAGAGAGAGAGAGAGAGAGAGAGAGAGAGATAGCGCGATAACCAACTCCACGTGACTGACTCTTTCTTATCCCTATTTTCTCCCTCTTCTTGCGCGGGGATGCGAAATCGAGAGATCCAAAGAGAGAGAGAGAGAGAGAGAGAGAGAGAGAGAGAGAGAGAGAGAGAGAGAGAGAGAGAGAGAGAGAGAGAGATTGAGATTGAGAGGAGAGGACAGAGAACAGACGCGTCGCGAATCGCGGTTCCGTCGTGTGCTTCGCCGGGGATTGTTTACCGAACGCTAACTGATGGAGCGTTGTTAGGTACACGAGTGTCCCCTCTCGTCGCGCCCCCTCCGCCATGCCACGAGCGCCGGCTCGCTTCCTAATGGATAATCGCGCGTATATCGCCGTGGTGATCCTCGACGAGGATCCTCTCGCTCGCCGCCGTCGCGCGCGCGGATACACCGGATCCTTGCACGAGACGCATTAGTCGATTAGTTTACCTTACAGCAAAGTCATCGGTCCGAAACGTCGGCCCGACGACATGGAAGCGAGATTAATTACGCCGTTCGCTCTGTAACGTTTCGGTTCTCGCTTGGTTGCCTTAATTGGGACGTCATTAAGCGACGCGTTATCTTCCGCTGGAGAAATGAGTCGACAGCGCGCCGGTGATTACGCGTTATCCTGTGTCCCGCGTTGTCTCGCTTGTGTGTGTGTGTGTGTGTGTGTGTGTGTATGTGTGTGTGTGTGTGTGTGCGCGTGTGTGTGTGCGTGCGCGTGCATGTGTGTGAGAGGCGATACATCTCATTCCGCGCTTCTTTCTTTGTTCCTCGCGACATCCGCGGATCGAATATTCCGGGAGCTGCTGAGCGCGATCGAAACATTCACACACATTTACGCACGCACGCGCGTGTTCCGTTCGTCCTTTCGCATCCCCGTAAATTACCTCTCATTCACGACTATTGCTGCAAGCACGTCGGGGAATCCTCCGTGCTACCGCCGCCGCCGCCGCCGCCGCCGCCGTCGTCGTCGTCGTCGTCGTCGTCGTCGTCGTCGCCTTCGTCATCTTCGCCATCGTCGTCGTCGTCGTCGTCGTCATCGTCGTCGTCGTTCACGACGAGGAAACTGCGAGATCTCGCAGAGCGACAGGCTACAAGGTCACGGAAAATAACGGAGGACACTAAAAAGCATGGGGGGGACACGATGAGGGGGTGCATCCCCCGTGCAACGCCTTTCCCCTCTGAGAGAGAGAGAGAGAGAGAGAGAGAGAGAGAGAGAAAAGAAGAGAAAAAAAAAAGAGAAACCAAAAAGTCCCACAACCACACCACGTTGCTCCTCGCGAGACTAACACACTCTGCGCGTACATACGTGTCTCTGTATACTGTGTATATATATACATGTATATATGCTGCCACCATCGTTCCGCGGAAAAAAAGCGAAAGAAAAAAAAAAAAAAAAAAAGAAAGAAAAAAAGAAAGAAGCGTTTAGTCACGAGGCGCGAATAATGTCGGCGGAGACATTAGACTCGCTCGAGGAACGAAGCGGTGGGGACGAGAGAGCGCCGGTCGCGTCGGGAACCGCTCCGATAGCACCGATGACGATAATGGCAACAATAACAACAACGAGAAAAATCCGCGGCTCGTCATCCGGGGATCGCGCGAGGAACCGGGCGACGATCGATAAGTCGCGGACCGATCGCCGTCGACTCGCGACGACCGCCTCTCGTTCAACCCTCGCGCCTCGTTCGCCGAGCCGTGCTGTGTACATACCGATCGATCGAAAGTACTATAATGCATAATCCAACATTGTGCCTGGCCTTACTTGCACGTCGCGAAAAGCCACCCGGGCGCTCGCGCTGACAGAGGGATGATGCATTTCGCGTGTGCGCGCAGGGCCCGCCGGGTAAACGCGGCAGGAAGGGCGACAAGGGCAACAAAGGAGACCAGGGTGTTCCAGGGCTGGACGCGCCGTGTCCGCTGGGGCCGGACGGACTTCCCCTGCCAGGCTGCGGCTGGAGACCACCGCAGGTAACCGACACAGCGCGTTCCGCAGCGAGGGCGGGGAGGGAGGGCGAGAAATCGGGGAAGGTACAAGCGCAATATTTTCATCGAGAGTCGCGGCAGAGAAACGTCAAGGGCGACTGCGCGGAGGGTGCCCCTCCGTGATCGCGGCGGATTTATTTTCTCGGCAATTGCAGTCGCGATGACGGACGGGGGCCCCGGGGTTGGTTGCAATTCGATGCTAGCGAACGAGCGATTCCCTGCGCGAAACTCGAGAAGCGCCGTCGAACGATCGTTGATTATCTCGCAGTACGACAAACGATGAGGGATACGAAAGGTGAGGGATGTCTCTAACGCGACGCTGAAACCGTCGGCGGAAATTGCTTCAATTTTTCCCCCGTAAAGCAGGTCCTTACGAAATGAGGGAGAAAGAGAGAGAGAGAGAGAGAGAGAGAGAGAGGCGCGAAAGCAACTCTCCTCGGCAAGTTACCGCGAGTATTACTCTTTCGCGCGCGCAAATACGGGGTGACGGGGAACATGGCCGGGGCACGCTTGGATTCTCGTGTGTGCTTAGCAGGACATCACGAGCACGTCCTCGCCGGCGATCGAGGGTCCCGAGCCCGCGGAGACGGATTACGAGGAGCCGGAGGAGGAGTACGACGACTATGCGGACCAGAACGGGAACCTAGCCGAGCAATAATGCTCGTTTTTGTGTGCGCTGCCCTAATCACTACCGACAACCACCACCACCACTACCATCACCACCACTACCACCACCACCACCACCACCACCACCACCACCATCACCGTCACCCTCGTCACTCGTCTCACCCCGTTCTCCCAAACTAACGTGTGGTCCCGGTAATTGCAATATCCCGTAGTATAATACTAACTGATTGATCGCATGCCATCGAGGATCGATTCCGCCTCGAGTCCCGCTTACTGCCTCGTCCGCCGCTTCTCCGTGCTTCTCCCGGTGTGTGGAACCGTCTTTTTTCTCTGCTCTGTCAATTTCTCGGAGTGGAGTCGCGCTCAAAACGAGCGAGAAGTGATTCGGTATTTTGCCGGCCCGAGCCGGGAGGGAAGAAAGCACCGCCGCGCTCGGGATCGCAAGACCGAATGTTTCGCTCCAGCTGAGAACGGATTTTGGCTCGGTGCGAGCGAATACTTCAATTCCGTTGGACTCGATTTGTGTTTCCGCGATTGTCGGCCGTATCAGATTCATTTTTCATTCGCAGGCGAGGATATTCGGTTATCCGATTTGGGATGTAAATTTCGTTTCCACACGAGTGAAACATTACTCGAATTTCAGTGACCTTGCGGCTCACTTTGCCTCTCCGGTGGAATTTCGCTCGAAGAAATCTGGAGTCCCTTGAAGCAAATTTTCACTCAAAATGTCGATGAAAGTTCTTGATGCCGTATATGAGCGAGTATCTTCGTCGTCCAGTTTGGAATCTATTTGTCTTTACGCGATTGTCGAATCCATCAGATTCAGTCAGAGGACATCCATTCAACGATTTAGTGCGGAGAATTCGATCGACTTGATTGCTCCGCTCTTCGGGTGAAATTCTACTCGGAGAAACTTAAAGAATACCACAGACTCGTCCAAGTTTTCGCTAGCAACCATGAATTTCCCGCTTGTTAACATCGCATTTTGCTTGCGCCGGTTCCTTCTAAATTCATTTCTTATATTTTAATCTTGTGTCAAATATATTTGACGTTCCGGTTAGTTTTGAGGGCTTAATACAGATGGCTATAGCTACAAATCTACTAGAGATATTTTTTGAAAGTTGATACGCCATTTGAAAGCTTGAACATTTCTACAAATAACTTGACACATAGCATGTGCGCATTCGTCAACATAACCACACTTTTTGTGCGATTGAAAATGGAGCGCCGTAAAGAGCATTTTCGGCATTTACTGCTTTATTGTTTCGATTCGAAGAAAACGGCTGCTGAAGCCCACCGATTCATCTTAGAAACTTCTTCCGACTTTTCTCCATCGGTTAAAACATGCGAATACTGACGAGTATCACGGCGATTCCGGCGTGATGATTTCGATTTGAAAGACAAAGAACGTTCAAGTCAACCAACAAAGTTTGAAGATGTCGAATTGCAGGCATTAACTCAGCTTAAACGAAAAATATTTTGAAAAAAATATATATATATAATTTAACGTCTCTCAAACACAAACTTGTGTGTTTCTTTTGCAAAAAATTCCTCAAAACTAATACCGGAACACCAGATGTGATAAATTATAGTGCATTGTTATAAATATATATCGCTACACGCTACACATGCATTAGCCGCAAATCTCGAGACAGACGCAAACGATGCTGCCGCAAAAGTAGCAGATTCCACGGATCGGCCAGAAACGAAACGTGGAAGACACCCAACCGGAAAACAGCCTGATCCTGCATGTGTCCGCCTCCAGTCTAATTTGCGATGCAAAGCGTGGGAATATAATTACCCGAGGAACCGCGCGCGTGAGCTTCCGGTTCCTGCGAACCTCCGCTCTTCTGCAACACCGATACGTCACCGGTCGATCGGGGAATTCCGGGAGAGGGGGGGGAGAGGGGACGAGCGAGGGGAAATGCAAAGGATCTCGGGTACCTCGGTGAAAAAGGAGCCGGACGGAAGTAACTGCGGAGACTTATTGCCGTTGTTTGTTATCTCACTCGCGCTTATCTACCCGCCCGCACGTTTGTCTCACTTGCCACCCCCGCGCGCGCGCCGACATCCCACCCTGCGCACCCCTGCCGCTAGCGAGCTGCCGAGGAGACCCCGCGATGTGAAATCTCTTAGCTCTAGCAGCTTCTGCGTATGCTGTGCCCGCATACCGCGAGATGCGACACCGCCGGGGATAGACGATTCTTGCCGCAAGCTTGCCTGCGAGCACGATATCGGTCTCGCCCCGCGGAAGACGCGCGATCGATGACGCCGTTCCGTTCTCTTTCGCAGCCGAGGAGCAACATCCTGAGCAGATGGCTGGAGGAGGAGGAGGAGGAGGCGGAGGAGGAGGAGACGGCGGCGGACGACGAGCGGCAGTGATGTTGCAAGGACAATAGCGCATTTTTCACAAGGACTTCGGCGTACTCTCCCGTTCCCGCCTCGTCGCGGCGCAAACGATGGCCGCGTTAACGAGAGCGAGAGAGAGAGAGAGAGAGAGAGAGAGAGAGAGAGAGAGAGAGAGAGAGAGAGAGAGAGAGAGAGAGAGAGAGAGAGAGAGAGAGAGAGAGAGAGAGAGAAAAAGAACGAAACAAATATATATATATATATATATACACACACATACATATACACATGCCAAAAAGTAATTATCTTGCCATCGAGTGTTGTAAATATGTGTACTTACAGTGTCTAGCGTCCGCAGTGCGTGTACATAAATAATTAGAGCTTGCTGCGCCTACATTACGATCGTATCCGACGACGCATCGTCGGCTTATACAGTTTACCTGTAAGCATCGCGCGCACATACACACACACACACATATACACACTCACGAGTATACGGTGATCGACCGAGGATCGATCGACTTCCGGTCCCAAGTGCGCGGCAACTCGCCACCTGCTCGCTCAGCAAAAGGGAGGGGGAGAGGGGAGAGTTAACAGTCCTCGTCGGAACCGCCGGAACAAGCGGACACGAAAGCGGCGGGAGAGAGAGAGAGAGAGAGAGAGAGAGAGAGAGAGAGAGAGAGAGAGAGAGAGAGAGAGAGAGAGAAAGAGAGAGAGAGAGAGAGAGCGAAGGGGGAGAACTAGAAAAGGAAGTGTCGCAAATGCCGAGAAAGTAATTACGGAGACGCGAAGTGAAGTGTGCGCGAGTTTTGGACGGATTTCGTGAACGAGCGTTCGCTCCTGCGGAAATTATCGAGTGCTCGGTACATCCGCGAGCAGACGGTACTTGCGGCGAGGACGAGCCGGAGGACGACGGCGTGCGCAGGACGAGGGAGAGGAGAGTCGCGTCACGCCGATGGATTAACTCTCGGTCTCGCGTTTCGACAAGCGGCGAGGACTATTCTCTTTTTCTTCAAGGACACTCACATGGTCGAGGAAACTCGAATGCGCGTCGACTCGTTCGAGACGCTTTCGTCCTGGGGAAAAGTCGCTGAAACTCGGGGGGGTTGATCCTGCGCCACACGTGCGTGTCGCCGGGCATGCACATATTACATATACATACAGACGCCTGTACCTGTGAAAGGACAGTCTTCGCTGCCGTGCTGCTAATCGTAGAGATTCAAGGTAGAGCTCGCGCGCACGTAACGCTCGCGAAGCGAGAGGGAAAGAGAGAGAGAGAGAGAGGCACTTTTTTTGATACTGGTTAGTTGATTAGTGATCATTAGCGCGATCTCTCGTTAGAGATTTTTAGATCGCACCGCCAGCTACGATACTGTGCACGATACCTTCGCCGATACCTGCCGATATCGCGGGATAAATCAGCATCTTCTCCCAACGTCAGAAACGTCGGGACACGCCGCGTCGTTTCTCGCTGCTCTCTTTCTGTCTGTCTGTCTGTCTGTTTCTCTCTCGCTCGGACGCGTCCATCCAGGCGAATATTTTCCGCGCCACGTCGCGAGGCGACGTCGCCTGTGAAAATGGAAGATGGCGGGCGGGAAACAAGAAGAGGTACTACTCGAATTCGAGTATCGACAGTCGGACGCCGTCCAGACTGTCGACAGACGTGTGCGAAGTGTGCGGCTTATCCGAGGCGCATTGATCTTCCTCTCGTGCTTTCAGTATATCCTTCGTACCTCATCTCGACGGGATACAAATGTTAGCGGTGTCCTTCCGGACCGTCCGGCACGTGCGCTTGTTAGCCTTCTCAGAACACATGTCATACGTCCCTCGGACTCGTGTCCTCTTCTGCTCGATCACAATCGCGCAGGCCGATGCCTAATCGCGTAATCTGACTCGGCGATTCCTTTGTGTTATTCGAATGCTTCTTTTGTTCGTGTCTCTTCGTATATTTTTCCTCGAGTATTTTCGTGTATTTTCTCTCTTTAACTCACACAAAGAGAGAAAGAGAAGTGTTTGGCTGGAACAGTTTTTTGCTGAACGATCGAGATCGAGTCCGGCCAAGATTATCGGTCTAAAATACTAGGATCTCTCTGCTTAATCCTTTATATCCTGAATTAATTTGCCCAAGACCTTATTGATTTTTCGTGCAATTAAATAGTTTTTGTCATATTATAAACACAAGGAATAGGAAAATTTTATAACAATTTAATGATTAAATTATACCCTGAATTTGGAAATTTCAAAATCATCTAGTTAACGAAAGTTAAGGTACTATTATAATGGCATATTCTTGAGAGCAAATAGAGTAAAAAAAGTCTAAAAAAAAGTCTAGAAAAAAAGTCTAGTATGTTCCTCTCTTTTCTTCCGAAAAATAGTTACCAACATATCATAAACTACATCTTGAAAATTCACCGAGTTTTCCTTAAAAAAAATATATGAGGCAAATAAAAAGATGCTTCAAACAAAAGTTGTTCAAATTAATCGGTAGAGATAGATGATAGATATAATAAAAAGATGGGGCTTTTCGCTTCAAAGTTGCAAAGAGATCCTTACACCCTACAACACTATTCAAGGTCATACCCTAACAACACTATTCAAGGTCATATTAATATTGCTATGTAACGCGTCACTTGAAATTCTACAACTTTCATATGAAATGAAAGACTTTCATATGAAAGATTTTTCTCCAAAATGTTTTATTTTCGAGATTTCGACTGTTCCGGGACTGTTTTGGGACACTCTATATGGAGCGGTACATTCAAGTACTGACAAGACACAAAGGTCCAACTTCAAACAGGATTCTGATATTTTCCATCGGAATCTCCGAATCGTCCAAATCTCACCCAATCAAGCATTTTTCTCTCTTCAACTTACACGTACAATCGCATAATCCAAACCGGCGACTGTCGGCGGGACTTTTCGATCGCTCACATGAAAGAAGGAGACACATCGTGCCGAATAGTCCGGGATACGTTTCCTTCGGGCTGGAACGGGCTGAATTAGCAGAATTTCTCAGGAGTCTGGCGCCGAGAGGGTCAAAACTCTCGCGCGTGCGCGCGGAATTAGAACGTAACACGCACGAGAGACGCACCCCGTCTTGATCGCAAAGGGAATATTTATTGCTCGTTTACATGCGCCGTCACCGTCACGTCTTGAGCAACTTGTACCCCTTGAAGTACGACTGCACCTCGTCCTTGGGGTAGGGCTTCGTCACCAGGCACGTTGCGACGTTCTCGGGCTGCTCTATCCACAGTTTGTGCTGGATGTCGTTCTCCTTGAGTTTCGCGCACAGCGTTCGCAGACTGGCTTCATCGGCGGCCTATTATTCACACTCGTGACTCTCGCTGTTACATATACTCGCCTTATCATCGCGTTTACAGGGAAAAGCGCCGCGACGCGTGCAATGTCGAGAGCCCTAGCTTGCGACGGCGATCCAAGGTGGTCGTAGAGTAAACGACTCAAGCGGCCCAAGGCGATTCTCTTCGCGCGCATTGCGACCGATCGACCGGACCTAACGATCACACGAGCGAGTCGCCGCACGTCCGCTACCAGCGCGTCACACATACACACACGTGCGCGACGCAACGAAAGCTTGCCTTTTCTTCCACATCCTCACTAGAGAGGCTTTCCATTTATCAGCGCGAGTCGACGCGAGCGTCGCTCCGTCTTCGTTCCGTTCTCAACGGCCGACGGAGACAAGACGACGCTTGCGGCTACTTGCGCGGCCTAACCGGCAAGCTCTCGTTGTCGAGGCGAGCCGGTCTTACGCGGGAAAAGAGAAGAACACCAAGTGAGGCTGTATTCGAGAAGACGCTATGAATGCTATAAACGCAAAACGCTGAAAACCCCGTTTGGGCAACCAATAGCGCGATGGCAAGCTCCCCGAACACGGTTTAAAGCAAAAGTTTCCAATATGGCCGCTCTTAGTATAAACAGAGCAAATAAGGGATTTTCGTGATTTTATTTTACTTGCAACTTAATTGGATCACACGGCAAATAGGATGTCTGCATAACCTGTTTTATGTTATTTACCTTTCTGGACACGTGTAGCATCATCTAGCGATATATAAATGTAATTTATTCCTATATGTCATCCACAAGATTAAGTTCAACAGTTTTACGCTTTTGGGCTATAGTTGATATTTTTGACACAGTAAATAGCTTTCATTTCAGAAGCAAGTACTATTGACAATAGCTGCGTTCCGTTATCCAATTTGCAGTCTTCTGAAACGCAGTAAGCTTTCAGTGAATTTCGGAACGTTGATCCTATCACAGCAAACGTTCGAGGAGAATGCAAGTGCTAATCAGCGCTGATAGCGTTTCGTGCGTCTCACCTCGAAGATAATAGGGAATTTTTGCAACACCGTCTCTCAAATACGGTAAACATTGATCGTGAATGCTACTAGTCGCGTACATTACGACGTTATTTCTGAACGAATAACGTTCACGATTTATGTTTCTAAGAGACGATATATCGCAAAAACTCCCTGATAACAAAAAACAGCGCGAGTGATGACACTACTTTTCGAGTAACGTCATTATCGATTTCACAGTGCCAAAAGCATCTCCTCGAACGGTTTTAGACAATAATAGCACCAGTAGCGAGCTCCCCGAATGCAGTCTGAGAGAGTGAGAGAGAGAGAGAGAGAGAGAGAAAAAGAGAGAGAGAGAGAGAGAGAGACGCTGGTAGCGAGACGCGCGCGAGCGGCGCGAGCCGAGTCGCGTCATACTTACTTCGAGCACCACCTTGTGCATATTGTCTAAGTCGGCGAGATAGGCCTGCGTGTGGGTGTCGTTGTAAAAGAGATGGATCACAGCGGTGCACGCGTGACACGCTTGTGCGACCACCGCGCCCAGCGGCCAGCTCATCACCTTGGAGAGATCCCCGCGCACCACCACGTACTGAACAATCCCGGCCATTCCGCCGAAGAAGATCGCTCTCCCCTGGATCCGCTTGGAACATTTTCTCCATTACTTTTTCTCTTCCTACGTGATTCGGCGGGAAACCGAGGAAGAGGAAGAGAGGAGGGGGGTCGGCATCTCTCGCGTATTGTTTCGGTCGACGGTTAATGTTTAAGGTGGCCCAGGTTTCGATTAATTAGTAAGTGCCAAAAGGTATATTATTCGTACGGATTAGGGTGTAACGCAGATACTCTTCCGAACTATTTATATATAAATATAAATATATAAAATATATATATATATATATATATATATATATATATCAAAATCGTATTCGTGCCCGGCTCGGCGACGTCCGCAGACCGCGTCGCGAGCGCGTCCGCTATAGCGTCGTTCCTTTGATGTTGCGGCATACGCAAGATGTATTATTTATACAAATTGTTGTTATTAAAGACAAATAACGCAGAAATAATTAGCACGTAAGACACATTATGGCTCACGAGACATCGTTTATTCAACCCTAGCCCGACCTACGTTCGTCGACAAACTCTGATAGGTTTGGATTCGCCGGTAGACACATTTTATAAACTCTCGCAAAGACCGTCAACTCGATGATGACGACAACGATCTACCTCAAAGATCGCGTGAAAGGCTTACCTCTTTTCAGCGATGACTTTTCGAATAACGATAGCTACGCCGTCGCAGAGCCTTCCTAGAGAGGTTAACCGCCGTCTCTGCAAGTAAACCAACACGCGATTTCTCGGTTATTGCAAGTAAATTGTGACAGACGAGAAAATACACGCCGAAGCATACTGGAACACAGCCCGACATACCTGACTGAGCCTGAAATTGATAGTTTCAAAATTTCGGATCGCTTGCAGACGCCTGCCTTGACGCTGTCATCCGGCCGGTACATAAACAACAAGGTAGCCAACTTATCGCCGAGTAATCATCTCGCATTTGGGAAAGCTGGCGTTAAGGCGAGTGCACGGTGCAATTTCCCCGCAACGACATCGTCAGGATGATTTTAAACCGGTGGCACACGGTGCTTGTTTTCGTGCTGGATTGCTTGCTGGATGAAAATACTGCATTCTGATTGGTACTTTTCCGAAGATGGATGGGAATGCACCAATCAGAACGCAGTATTTTCATCCAGCATGCAATCCAGCATGAAAACAAGCACCGTGTGCCGCTGGCTTTAGATTTGTTTTTTATCGCTTAATTGACTTACACTAGAGTGAACTGACTAAAGCCAGCGGCACAAGGTGCTTGTTTTCGTGCTGGATTGCTTGCTGGATGAAAATACTGCATTCTGATTGGTGCATTTCCATCCATCTTCGGAAATGCACCAATCAGAACGCAGTATTTTCATCCAGCAAGCAATCCAGCACGAAAACAAGTACAGCGTGCTGCTGGCTTAAAATTGATTAGAACCAGAGAGGAACGTGAGAGCGACCAATACGGTGTTTCCGATGATACTAAAGCCAGCGGCACAAGGTGCTTGTTTTCGTGCTGGATTGCTTGCTGGATGAAAATACTGCCTTCTGATTGGTGCATTTCCATCCATCTTCGGAAATACACCAATTAGAACGCAATATTTTCATCCAGCAAGCAATCCAGCACGAAAACAAGCACCGTGTGCCGCTGGCTTAACTTTCCGCACTGGGAAAGGGCGCCATCTGCATCCATTTCGAGAGGGGAACTATGATGCTACATCCACTTTCAGGTTTCGGCGGTAAAACCTGTATGTGGTGGCAGTCCGTGCTACATCCATTTTTAGGCGATTTATGTCCGTGCTACAACCATAATAGCGTACTTGACAAGCACGGTCTCGCACATTGTTACGCGTTTATAACATGAATTAACATGTTAACATGTGCAAAAAAAAAAGAATTGACATTGTGTATGATTAATATCATGAAGATCATACGAAGTGTCCGATAATTAGCTGCCAACTCGAAGTGTGAGGGTAGATTGGGTTGAGACAAACATAAAAGTCCCGTACCATTTTGCGAGATCCGCAATAATTATAGAGTTATTAATGACAGAAATCTGAGGAGTAAAAGCGCGCCGACATAGGTGGTTCGAAAAGCGTTGCAGCTACTCGGGGCAGCGATCATGAATTTTTTCCCTAGCATGAACTAATAAAAAGTAAAGAACTTCTGTAAATCAGTAAAAAATGAAAAATTTTATATGAATTTGTGAAAATCGAAACATTTCACACGACAATTGAGTTATTCAACATGGCAGTTGCGCGTTCTGGATAATTCAATGAATACCAAACAAATCAAAATGATCAAAATAATAATGTCTTTGTGATCCGAAGGATATTACGTGCAAAATCCGTTTGATATAATATCCAAAGAAAATGTTTCAAAATACGAGGTCTGTTCAAAAAGTATCGAACCTTATTTTTTCCCGCGTAAACCAATGAAGCGCGGGAGATTTCCTTCAGTGGAGATGTGGGGGGGGGGGACAATCATGCGCAGTTGTACATTTTTTCCCGCCCGCAGAAAGCGTCAGTCGCTGCCAGTCGGCCTACAAGTGAAGACGTGTAGTGAGCGATCGTCAGATTTCAGTTTTTAGTAAAATGACAGAACAACTTGAGCAGCGATATTGCATCAAATTTTGCCATGCGCTTGGCGATACCCAAGTGGAAACCATTCGAAAGATTCAGCAGGCTTTCGGGGACGATGCCATGAGCACTTCGCGGATAAAAGAGTGGTACAACCGCTTCAAAGATGGCCGCACATCAGTGGACAGCGAACCACGTTCAGGTAGGCCCTCAACAAGCCGAAATGAGAATGTCATTGAGCAAGTGCGGACTCTGTTGATGCAGGACCGTCGTATCACAGTCCAAGAAGTTACGAACGAGATAGGGATAAGCATTGGCTCGGTACATTCCATTGTGACCGAGGATTTGGGCATGAGGAGAGTGTCCGCGAAATTTGTACCGAAGCTGCTAACAATGGAGCAGAAGCAATTGCGTCTGGAGATCGCACAGGACATGCTGGACAATGCCAACAGTGACCCCAACTTTCTGAAGACCGTGATCATAGGCGATGAGACATGGGTTTACGGGCACGACCCAGAAACCAAGATGTGGTCGTCACAGTGGCGACATCCGACATTCCTAAGGCCAAAAAAAAGCACAAGTCCGCAGCAACGTCAAGGTCATGTTGACTGTTTTCTTTGACTCCCATGGTGTGGTGCATCATGAATACGCACCACAAGGCCAAACCATCACAAAGGAGTACTACCAGGTCCTTTGTCGCCTTCGTGATGCTGTGCGGCGCAAGCGACCGGATCTGTGGGCAGCGAAAACTTGGCGGCTCTATCATGGTAACGCACCAGCCCATTCTGCGCATTTGATTCAGGCTTTCCTTGCTAAACACAACATTCCTCATGTACATCAGGCTCCCCTACTCACCCGACATGGCTCCACGTGACTTTTGGCTATTTCCCAAGCTGAAAATGCCACTGAAAGGGACCCGATTTGAGTCAAGAGAGGACATCATGCGGAATGCGATGGACCGGCTCCGCACCATTCCAAAATCTGCGTTCCGGATGTGTTTCCAACAATGGCAGAAGCGCTGGGAGAAGTGTGTGCATTACCAAGGAGCCTACTTTGAAGAGGATTAGTATTTCAGACCTCGAAATCAATAACTGTAATTTTGCCGAACAAAGGTTCGATACTTTTTGAACAGGCCTCGTATGTATGGATAGGTAATATAAACCTTATGCACCGACGAGATATATGTACTACAAAGACTGATGGCCTTACGGGATTTAGCGTACCAGACAAATTTCCCTGGTGAGGCACCCGGGCGAAAGAGACCATCTCGCATTTAGCGCAGTAAAATTTAATGGGAACTAATACTTTTCAATCCTTTTCTTCGGATCAAAAAGATTCAGAATTCAGACATATTCAAAATGTCAATACTTTTTAATAAGTTTCAATTCGACATTTTATACAGGGAAGCAGGACGAAGGGAATGGGATGCGGGCAACGATACGTCATGCGTCTTCAGACGTATCAAATCGTTTATTATAGAGGAGACTTTGATACGGCAACATGTATTCGAATATTTAATCGTCCCATGGACCGCTTATATACAATTAAAGAAAAATTAACGCGGATAAATGAACGATTCGTGTCAATTTTTTCTTTTCTTATAGAGCAATGAAAGAGTAAATCAGTATCGAAAATCGAATACCGATTAATACCATAAATCAGTGTCAGAAAATTGTCCAATGACAATTTGTTTTCATTTTTCAGGTAGTTACCGCTGAAATTTACACAACAAACTAACTCGGTTAAACGAACGATTCGTACCAATTTTTCTTCTTTTATAAAGAAATGAGAGAATAAATCAAAGTATTAAAAATCAAAGGCCGATCAATACCTAATTTATTCATCAAATTAACGGATTAATGGACGATTCGTATTAATTTTCTATTTTCTAACAGAGAAATGGAAGAGTAAATCAGTACCGAAAATCGAATATCGATTAATACCATAAATCAGTGTCAAAAAATTGCACACGTGCAATGACAATTTGTTCTTATTTTTCAGGTACATATCCCTCTAATCTTATTCAACAAATTAACTCAGATAAACGAACGATTCGTATCAATTTTTCTTTTCTTATAGAGAAATGAAAGAATAAATCAGTACCGAAATCGAAGACCGATCAGTATCTAACTTATTCATCAAATTAACTCGGATAAACGAACGATCAATTTTCCTTTTCTTATAGAAAAATAAAAGAGTAAATCAGTACCGAAAACCGAATATCGATCAATACCGTAAATCAACGTCAGAAAATTGTCCACGTACAATTACAATTTGTTCTTATTTTTCAGATACTTACCCCTCTAATTTACTCAACAAATTAACTCTGTTAAACGAACGATCCGTATCAATTTTTCTTTTCTTATAAAGAAATGACAGAATAAATTAATACCGAAAACCGAACACCGATCAACACCTAACATTTTCATCAAATTAACGCGGATTAATGAACGATTCGTATTAATTTTCTGTTTTCTTATAGAGAAATGAAAGAGTAAATCAGTACCGAAAATCGAATATCGATTAATACCATAAATCAGTGTCAATAAATTGCACACGTGCAATAACAATTTGTCCTTATTTTTCAAGTACATACCTTTCTAATCTTATTCAACAAATTAACTCAGATAAACGAACGATTCGTATCAATTTTTCTTGTCTTATAAAAAAATGAGAAAATAAATCAGTACCGAAATCGAAAACCGTTCAATATCTAATTTTTTCATCAAATTAACGCGGATAAATGAACAATTCGTCTGAATTTTTTCTTTTCTTATAGAAAAATGAAAGGAGGAATCAGTACCGAAAATCGAATACCGATCAATATCGAATTTATTCATCAAATTAAATAACGTGGATAAACAAACGATTTGTATCAATCTTTTTTTCTTTTAAAGATAAATCAAAGACTAAATCAGTACCGAAAACCGGATATTGATCCATATTATAAATCAGCGTTAGAAAATTGTCTAAGTGCAATGACAAGTTGTATTCATCTTGCAAGTACTTACCCCACTAATTTACTCAACAAATTAAGTCGGATAAAAGAACGATTCGTATCAATTTTTATTCTCTTGTAAAGAAATTAGTGAATTAGTCAGTACCGAAAATTGAAGACCGAACAATATTTAACTTGTTCATCAAAATAACACGGATAAATGAACGATTCGTATCAATTTTTTTTTCTTATAGAAAAATGATATAATAAATCAGTACCGAAAATCGAATATCGATTAGTACCATAAATCAGTGTTAGAAAATTGTCCAAGTACAATGACAATTTGTTCTCATTTTTCAGGTATTTATCCCTCTAAGTTACTCAACAAATTAACTCGAATAAACGAATGATTCGTATCAATTTTTCTTGTCTTATAAAAAAATGAGAGAATAAATCAGTACCGAAAACTGAAGACCGATCAATACCTAATTTTTTCATCAAATTAACGCGGATAAATGAACGATTCGTATCAATTTTTTTGTCTTATAGAAAAATGAAAGAATAAATCAGTACCGAAAATCGAGTGTCGATTAATACAATAAATCAGTGTTAGAAAATTGTCCAAGTGCAATGACAATTTGTTCTCATTTTTCAGATACTTACACCTCTAATCTTATTCAACAAATTAACTTGGATAAACGAATGATTCGTATCAATTTTTTTTTGTCTTTTAAAAATTGAAAAAATAAATTAGTACCGAAAACCGAATATCGATTAATACCATAAATCAGTGTCAGAAAATTGTCCAAGTGCAATGACAATCTGTTCTCATTTTTCAGGTACTTACCCCTCTAATTTACTCAACAAATTAACTCGTTTAAACGAACGATCCGTGTCAATTTTTCTTTTCTTATAAAGAAATGACAATAAATCAGTACCGAAAACCGAAGATCCATCACTACCTAATTTTTTCATCAAATTAACGCGGATAAATGAACGATTCGTATTAATTTTCTGTTTTCTTATAGAGAAATGAAAGAGTAAATCAGTACCGAAAATCGAATATCGATTAATACCATAAATCAGTGTCAAAAAATTGCTCACGTGCAATGACAGTTTGTTTTTATTTTTCAAGTACTTACCCCTCTAATCTTATTCAACAAATTAACTCGGATAAACGAACGAATCGTATCAATTTCTTTGTCTTATAAAAAAATTAGAAAATAAATCAATACCGAAAACCGAAGACTGATCAATACCATAAATCAATGTCAAGAAAATTGTCCAAGTGCAATGACAAGTTGTTTTCATCTTGCAGGTACTTACCCCACTAATTTACTCCACAAATTAAGTCGGATAAAAGAACGATTCGTATCAATTTTTATTCTCTTATAAAGAAATTAGAGAATCAGTCGGTACTGAAAATTGGAGACCGATCAATACTTAATTTATTCATAAAATTAACGCGGATAAATGTACGATTCGTATGAATTTTTTTTCTTATAGAGAAATGAAAGAGTAAATCAGTACCGAAAAACGAATAATCGATCAATACCGTAAATCAGTGTTAGAAAATTGTCCAAGTACAATGACAATTTGTCCTCATTTTTCTTTATTTATCCCTCTAATTTACTCAACAAATTAACTTCAATAAACGAATGATTCGTATCAATTTTTCTTGTCTTATAAAGAAATGAGAGAATAAATCAGTACCGAAAATTGAAGACCGATCAATATTTAATACATTCATCAAATTAACGCGGATAAATGAACGAGTCGTATCAATTTTTTTTCTTATAGAGAAATGAAAGAGTAAATCAGTACCGAAAATCGAATATCGATCAATACCAGAAATCAGTGTTAGAAGATTGTCCAAAGTGCAATGACAATTCGTTCTCATTTTTCAGGTACTTACCCCACGAATTTCAACAAATTAACTCGGATATATAAACGAACGCTTCGTATTAATTTTTTTCTTCTCTTATAGAGAAATGAGGAAGTAAATCAGTACCGGAAATCGAATATCGATTAATATCATAAATCAAAATTTATATTGCTTTTTAATTTCATCGTCGCAAAAGATTTGACGTTTTCTCTATCCTAGTCCTAACTTGTAGAAAATTTGGTACTCATCTCTATTTGACAAAAGTACGTCGGACTTTCTATACTAACTAATATAAACAATTTTTTTTCATTCTTATTTTTTCTACATCTAATATTTTAATACCGAATCTGTCGGACTGAACCGGTTTGCAGAAATCCTGGCAAGACGTTTCTCTCTCTTTCTCGCTCTCCTCTCTCTTCGTCTCTGAATCGCCGCTAATGATCGAAAACCGGAAGCGGAAAGTAACGAAAATTTATTCATTCAACTAAAACATTCTCCATCTTATTTTTTATGCTTCGGATAAATACGGATCCGGCGTTTTGTCAAATATCTAACAAAAGTATCTCCGTTTTTTTCTTGCCGACATTCAAATCAATAGTTTTCTACAAGTTAGGATTTGATAAAAAAAAGTCTTTCCCGAGTCGAAATATTAATTCTACATTGATCCTGCAAATTGCATCCAATTTGAAAAATCAATGCAGAATATCTAGATGCGCAATAGTGAACAAGCTTTGTCCTACCTGAACATTACATCTGACTATTCTCGCAGTCTCGCCCATGATGAGTCTTCAACAGCGACGTATTCCGTAGTTATTTAATACTCGTTTATCTTGATAATGTATATGTACTTAATCCTTATATTCTTAATTTAAATGAGCAATTTTTGTTGATGTTGATTATATATTCGCTTAACAGCGCAAGAAAGAGAACAAAGATAAAAACGTAAATAGAACTGCCTTTCTTAGAACTGCGCGTGAGATAAATATATAAGGATTAAATAATCATATAAGAATTAGAGGAAATGGGAGATGAAAAACACTTTTTATTCTCATCATTCTTCAAGTTCTTTTTTCCTTTTTTCTTCTCTTTTTTTTCTTTTCTTTTTTCTAATGAGAATGATGAGAATTGTAGCTCTCAAAAGAGCTGAAGCTGCAAAGGCAAAGACAACGGTTATGTCTAATAATGCTGTTTCACTAATAGAGATTTTAATTCAGATTCGGTACAATAAGAAAGATAAACAAGAATGAGAAATGGACATTCTAGCAGATTCTAGACGAAAACAGCAATCTGAACATTATTAGACGAATAAAAATCAACACTTGTAAAATTTATATCAGATTCTAAGATCATTATTCATAGTTTTTTAAATTATATGCAATTTTTCATTGAGAACATAATTACAAATTTGTATTCATAAACCTTAGCTTGCCTCAGCAACATTGCTTGAATAGACATTCATATTTTATGAGAAAGGAAAAGTAGAACTCATGTTACGTGAAATTAGGTTAACGAATAATCAAATCTCAAGCTATTTTATCATTTTTCAGATGATAAACTATGAATGTTGATCTAATTTCGACTCGGGTATGTCCTTACTTCGAGTAAGGTCCGTTAAAATCAGAAAAATCCTGCGTAATAATAATGACTCGAAGTACCTCGAATAACATATTTGATGTATCGCTGTCCACGTCTCTCGGCGCGCTCCAAGTCCT